TCTGTAGCAAGTACGGAAGTTACTGTAGCAGTATGTAAGTTACAATAGCACATACGGAGTTACTGTAGCACCACTTTTTTTGGTGCCCTAAGTCAACAGCAAAAAGGGAAGTTATAGTGGGGTTTGCTGATTTTGGCCAAAATTTTGCTAAAACAACCTAGATCTTCTAGATTTCAGCAATTTTTGTTGATTATTTGTCTAGGGTTTGTGATTTTGACGAACCTATGGCAGCGAGAATGGGCTGTAGAAGGGGGATTTTTGCAGATCCACTCCGTGATCCAATAGATGACAAAATTAAGGAACTTGAAAGGCAAGTTCAGCAGTTGGTGCAGCAGTTTCCGAGCCTCAATAGTGGGCAAGACGGTGATCTTTCAGCTCAAGAGGATCTCGATTACAAGCCTTTTCACTTTTGTGTTCCACGTATGGGGTCGAGTGATGAGGATGGCGATAGAAGGCCTAGATGTGGGGAATATCACTCTAGGGTTTTCAATTTGGAGGATGAGATTTTTTATTTGGACACAGATTGTATGGAAAGTCAGCAAATTATAGATTGGGATTCACCACCAATCTTCGATATATACTCAGAGGAACTACAATATTTCTTAGGAGATCCGATCTATGATAAGGATCACATTGATGGTGAAGATATTTTGGAAGAGGGTGAAGTTGTTGGTTTAATCACTGATCTCAAAGATGCACTTGTGATGTGTTTTAGAGTTGAGCTTAAGCAAATTCAGCAGGGTTACATGGCTCAAGTGATGCAATTTCAACAAGTTTATGTGATTAAAAATATTCTATCGACTTACAGTGACCCTTTCCTCAAGGGTTTCTCAGTTCCAATGCATAATTTTTGTGTTTGGATCAATGTTGTAACCCCGTAAGTCCCAAGATCATGTTTACAATATTTTAGTTGAGGAATGTTGCCGGGTTAATGTAATTTCATCTTAGCACACTTCAAAACTTGATGGCGAGTTTTCTCCAACTAGGGGAGAATGATGGAGGCAAAATTTGTTCTTATTCTTTATTTTTATTCAAACTTTAAAGGATGTATATTATAGTTTGTTTTTTGGGTTTATTTTTAGGGTTTTTAGTTTTTTTAGGATTCTAGATTTTTCTGGTTTTTTTTATTTATTTCATGAGAACTATTCACGGGTACTGTTTATGGGTACTATTCGTAGGGATAAAATTGTCATTATGAAATTTATACTTAAGTTAAGACATTTTGGTCAAAAGTTAATTGTATGGACAAATATTGTCCAAAATAATAATTTTTTTAATATAAATAAGGGCATGGATGGGCAGGAGAGTCATTCATGTATTTCTCTTTAATATAAGAAAGACTTTGTCTTGTAAAAGAAGCCTAAGGCTTGAGCCCTAGGTGGGTGAAAGCCTTAGGGTTTCTCCAAAATTGCTTGTGTTAAGGTGCTTATTCCTTGTGTCAAGGTGGTCTGTTTTTCTAGAAACGTCGAAGGAATATATTATCTTTAAATCCAAAGAATAAGAACTATTGAAAGGTGAAGATGGCATTAAAAAATGGTTGAATTGAGTGGATGTGAAGGCTATGGAATTCATCTGTGGTTATACATACATAGTTCACATGAAAAATGCTATTGCAAACAAATCTTAAGCTTTCCTCTGAATGGGGATAAGTGTCATTGATAGTTGATTGCCCATTGATAGTTGATTGTCTTAAACTCATTTGATGGGCGAACAAAGAAACAACGCCTTCTTGGCATTTTGTTTGCGATTTTTAAGAGATTTCTGACATTTCTATTTCCAGATATATCTCTTTTTGTCATGTCTACCAATTGAGAGGAACCTGCATGGTGGGATACTTTCACCCACAAATGATGGAGTTGTTTGTGATTGCCTCTTATCACTCCAAATCTTGGTAGATAAGTGGTGCTGAAAATAGTGGACTCGCTCCATGGTAGCTATATGTTGTTTCAACTCCCATTGAGGAAACTTGGAGAGTGAGACAGCGCTATAGAATTAGTGTTTCAAAAAGCGGACCGCCCAGCACCTGGGCGGCCGCTTAGGCTTGAACCTGCCTAGGTGGCTGCTCAGGACCTGCACCGCACCCAAGGGCGGAAATGTAGTTCCTTGAGGGTATTTTTTGGCCATTTTTTTAATACTTAAGGGCCAAAATTGTGGGTTTTAGGTTCATCTGAAACTTAAAACCCATTAGAGGTTATTTTAGAGAGACAAAACCCAAAAAACAAATTTTTTCTACTGGGCTGCCCAGGTTCTGGGTGCCGGCCTACCCCCCCGACCGCTTAAGTGATGTATGGGGTCTTCTACTTTGATATTGAACTATACCTCTGGTTTGCAAATCCAATTAGGGTGCTACTGTTGGATCCGCGTTAGAGTATTTGGCATATCACTTATCTTTCAGTCCCAAACGACCTTCAGAACTAAGACTCACACCCATGTTGGGGTGGCAATGGACCCGGACCAGACTAGGGACCTGATGAACGGACCTGACCTGGGTTTGGGTATGGGATAAAAATTATACCTATCGGGTCGGGTTTGGGTCCGGGGTCCATGTGGACCCGACCCGAATAGTGATATTATTTAAATAATACTTAATATGTAATATTTTAATAATATTTAAATAAATACAACTATATATTTTAGTTAGAATATTTAAATAATACATGTCTATATTAACATAATATTTAAATGTATATATATTTTTATTTAATTTTGGGTGTGGTCCAATCAAGTCCTTGTCTGGGTCCCATAATACTTTTTCGAGTCCGGGTCCTGTTCTGGACTCTACCCAACCCGACCCGTTGCCACTCCTACAACCATGGGGCCATGAGATGGGTGGATGGGGCATCGGTTGGAACGATCCAACTTCTGTTTCAGAATCATCCTTAAATCTGCTTCGTTTTGGAGTTTCAAGTGTCCTTGTAAAGCATAGGGTTTGCACAATGACCATATGGGAGGAAGATGCAATGAAACCTCCTTGCAAATCTTTATAGGGTGTTTCTATCTAGCCACTGATGGTATCTTTGTATGTGTAATCAAAATAATGCATCGGGACCTATTATGAGGAAGTTGCTATACGCTCCCCTGAGCATATAGAGGACCTAATGATAAACCCACATAGATTTCCTTGCTTTGACTATATATGACCCTCAATGGCCCTTGATGTGAATTGGCATTTTGGCAGAAAATACAAAGGTGCTCTAGTCATGGAACCATGCTTGAGACATATGGAGCACTAAAAGTGCTGCGAGACATGACTTTGAGAATACACATGGCGTGGGTTGAGATGCTTGATGAAACATGGCATGTGTGTGTGGTTTTTGGTCAGTTATGCAATTGCCCCAGGGTGGGCTTTGTACCTGTAATCTTCTTCCTAAACTGCTCCTGCACTGGTGTTCGTTCATACTATGCCTTGTCATTATTCAGATTGAGTAAAAGGGTTCTCTCCTCTTAATAAAGAAAATAATATGGCAGTTTATATTAATAAAACATTGTGACCTTCTATGGATTCTTGATTTGTGTGTCTTCCTTGTATGGGGTATGAAATCAATTTTAAAAAAGCTTCCTTTTGTCCTTTGAATTTTGCACCTGGTGCAACCTGATCTAATGCACTTTATTTGGTCATATATGTTAACTTTTCACTACAAAAAGGGCAAAACAAAAATCTAAAATTCTTGGTTCCTGAGGGAGCATTTCTTCCATTTACTCCCATAGTTGTACCCCAATCTAGGGATTGGTTTTAGGACCCCATGCAAGGAAGACACACAAGTGAAGAAGCAATACATTGTTTCAATATATAGTTAACAATGATTTAGTGGGAAATATTCAAAAAAAAAAATAACAATGTTTTAGTGGGAAGTGTTTTTCGGACCCCAAATGGTCTAAGAAGGGTGAGGACCTTAAGCTTTCCCTTAACCCGTTCCAAGCCCAGGTAAAAAGGAAAGGGGTAGGCCCAAAAGGACATGGTTGGTAGTAGTGAGAAAAGATATGGGAACTTGTGGCCTCACTAAGGGTGTTGCCCTTAATAGAGCAGAATGGCGGAACATGATTCGTGTAGCTGACCTCAATTAGTTGGGAAAAGGCTTTGATGATGATGATGATGTTTTTAGGACTCCAAATTTTTGGGATGTAACGTCCTCAACCTGGTGACAAACCTTTAATCTTAAAAAGGCTAAAATTTCAAATGCATTATATACGTGTCTAGAAAAAAAAATGATGCGATAAGATTGGACAGAGCCCATCCAATTTTTGACTTGTCGGATCTAAGTTTTTAAGAACCTAAAATTCATTTTAAAAAGAAAAAGTTCTTAGGTAGATCCCAATATTTCAATGGGAAAAATGCTCCTAAGTAGCTCTTTGGCATGTGGGAGGAAGTGTATGGTCTGCTCCCACAGGAGCATGCTATACATGCTTTTTTTTTTTTGGGTGAATAAGCATGCTATACGTGCTCAAAAAATAAATGTTTCCTTTTCTTTTTTGGTGGTCATTAAAATTCCTGTGTTGTCTTTTGTACAAAATTTAATCAGTATTGGTTTTATTTATAGAGGAAAATTGCATAATTAGCAGAAGTATGATAGTTCGTTAGGTTGGGCTGGTGCGCAGAAAGCTGTAGTAATATATTACGATTGCTGCCAAAAACAAGATGTTTAATAGATTGGAGCATGTCGATCCTACCTGTGAAGGGTAATTTTCAGTTATTTCTTTCTTGCTGCATCCTTTTCTCCTATGAAATGGATGCCGAACATTAGTTAGTAATAGTGATTATTCAATGGGAAACTAGATCAAGCTTTTCTGCCAGATTATATTTTTTCCTTCTCCCGGATAGATATTGTATTTAATGATGCTATGCACACACAGGGAACAGACATTTAGGGTAATCAATTTGGTGATCCTTGCACACTAAATCTTGGTTGTGGTCTAAGATGGCTTACAAAATCTTTGGTGTGATTTTTTTTTTTTTGAAATGATTCTGGACTGAGCCTTGTATCACTGTGGTGATTGTGCAGAAATTGAAAGTTACGGTTGTTGGAGTTGAGCTTCTGGATGGACGAAGTGGAGATTTGCGTTGGTGCTTGGACTTTAGAGATATGGACTCCCCTGCTGTAATACTGTTATCTGATGGATATGGAAGGAAAAGTACCGAAGCAAGAGGTTTTGTTCTTTGCCCCTTATATGGAAGAAAGTCTAAAGCTTTTCAAGCTGGTTCGGGGAGCACAAATACTGCTATTATAGCTAGCCTGGTATGACTGACTTTAAGTTCATGGCATCCCATGCTACTTCTTGCTTTTGGAAGGCCATTCTGTTGTATGCTCTTGTCTTGATTGCTTGTACAGTGTTGTAATATGAAAATCTACATTGTTGCTTATCTAAGTAGTTTGCAGATAGGTCCATCGGTTGTTCCAATTTTCTATATCTTCATTGATACATGAAATTTGTGATTGTGTGATGAATTGTTTGTACAGACAAAAACTGCAAAATCCATGGTTGGATTGTCATTAGCTGTGGACAGCTCACAATCCTTGACTACTGTGGAGTTCTTGAAACGACGAGGTAGGTGAATTAATGTCAGGTGGTTGGGCCTGTTTTTTATCTTTTTGTCTTTACTGTATTGTAAGCTAATTTTCAGGTTTGACTTGTTTGGCTTTTTTGGTATTTTCTTATTTTGACATATAATTGACCAACCAACTTACTTTAGATGCAGCTTATCTTAATCAGTGCAATACATAACTGATAGCTTTCTGGTGGTTTGTCATTAGATGCTGGCAAAACAGCCATGCAAAATTTTAATGGTCACATGCAAGAAAAAACACCCTGAATTTGTACTTGTCTTGCATGTGTGATTTGCTCATTTTTGCAGGCTGAATATTTCTCACTTGCTGAAGATTAGGGCCCAATGGGTTGGGAAACACTTGTTTTGTGAACTTAATAAGTATAGCTATGTGTTGGTCACACGAAATCCATATCTGTGTTCTCTGAATGATGATCTTAAGTAGGGTAACTTTGAAAGTTGTATGATGGCAAATTAACATAGAGTAACTTGTCCTTTTGCATGAAGCGTCTCCACCAAGATCTGGCACATGAGCTCTAATTAGAGACTTAGATTGGTGCTCAGCATGGGGGTCTTGTGCTGGACATTCTGAGGTCACTGTGCACTTAAATGGGTGCTTGGGTTGGAAATGTTCTCCTTTAACAATGTTGGTATGGGGTTGATAATAGACAAGTTTTCACTTGGATGTGTAAATTTCATACTATCCAATTGAGATGACCTTTGGCAACAACTTCCTTGCATTGTGAGGGTTTTCTGGTTTAGGGGTCTCTTCTAGGATTCAGTTTGTGGGTCAAATATTGGACCTGGGTGAGTTTGGTTGTTTCCATTAAGTCGCTCATAACTTTCCCCTCCTTCCATATGCTTGTATTGGAGTTCCCTTCCTTAGAGGATATTTGCTGCAGAATAAGAAGGGTTGTAACTAATACAGTTTCGGGATAAGATAATAATGTGTTTTAGTTTTGACTTGAATGAGAAGAAACATTCATCCCATCTTCTTACTTAAAAAACATTCATACAAACCTTGAAAATGACCTCCGCTTTATGAGCTATACTTGTGGCTTGTTTGTGTCTGTATGAGTATATTTATCCAGTGTTGTATTCAAATCTGTAAAATTTAGGTCAAAAATCATTCTTTTCCTTGTAAACCCAAGCTTGTATGGAAATAATCTTGCACTCTTTATTCTTTCCATTATATGGAATATAGATGCTTATTTGGATGGATGGATTCCCGTGTCACAGTAAAAGCATCATTTTCTTTTTGCTGAGGTCATACATATGTTTGGAAGTAGCAGATGGCAGTAAGAACCAATTTTGTCATCAGTGAATTGTAGATTTTTATTATTTTTGCACAATCTGATGGTGTTTATTGTATGTTTATTTGATTTGTGATTTATAAATGTGGTTCCTTCTTTTTTGTATGGTTAACTGAGGAATGTTTTGTTCCTATATAATATTCTGCTATTTGATTGAAATGGGCAGCAAAAGATGCTGTTGGAGCTGAGGAAAATTGGTCTGGAGGATGGTCAGTGACAAGATTACGAACTGCTGCCCGTGGAACAGCTAATGTTCTGGGATTAAGTTTGGGAATTGGACCTAAAGGTGGACTCGGCCCACATGGAGATGCAGTATCTAGGAAGCTTATTCTTACGAAGGCTTCCCTTGTTGAAAGGCACCCAGAGACCTACGAGGTTAGTGGCATGATTCCTATAAATCTTTTTGATGACTCTTTGTTTTCTAGGTTTGCGGTCATTTGGTGCCTAGCCTGCAGTGGGCCCTAGTTCTTTATTCCAACACTTGCTTTGATGGAATGTTTATTTGAAAAATGCAGTATTTGGTTGTAAATGCTTTTAAACGTAATTTGTTCTCTTCATGTTCCTTTGCAGAAGTTTATATTGCATACATGTTATTAATGAGATCATCATTGTCATTATAGTTTTTTCCCAATTAATTGGGTCAGCTGCACGAATCTTGGCTCGCCATTCTGCTCTATTAAAGGCCATATCTTTAGTGAGGCTATAAGTTCCCATTTCTTTCCGAACTACTTCCAACCATGTCCTTTTAGGCCTACCCCTTGCCTTTTTAAGTCCTTCTACTTGAACTAACTCGTACCTCTTAACAGGAAAAAAGAAGAGAAAAACTCAAGGCAACAAAATGAAAAATATTAATCTGGATCCAGTTTTCCACTTCTATAATAACTAATGGACAATTATTCAAGAGCCCCGTGCATAAGAATGCACTAGGATGACTGACATCCAAGGAAACTCTTTTGCTGCACCCATGCATACAATAAGAATGAAAGAAAAATTGAGCACCAACATTATCGAAATTATGTGATGAGTTGACCTTACTGTATTATTTATTTTATTTTACATAATACTAAAAACGTTACGAAAATTAAGTGGGTACATCATATTTGTACCTTTTCTTAAACGCCATTGTGCAACAAAACTTTACAACTTCAGGTCCTATGATGCATTGAAAATATTAATGGGCTTTGCACACTTTTCATGTTCTCATGCCATGCTTTGGTTTACAGCAATGTGCACATTGCTAGTTGTGACACACTATTGTTTAGATATCGGCCAACCATGTGTTTTCTTTTATATCTATATATATATATATATATATATATATATATATATGAATCTTGTTGCTAACCTTATGGATGGAACCTACAGGTGGTTATTTCCCGGCCTTTATCTGCAGTGAGTTCTCTCGTTCGATTTGCAGAGGAGCCGCAGATGTTCGCAATTGAATTCAGTGATGGCTGTCCTATTCATGTTAGTCTTTATGTTATTCTCTGTTCCTTTATCCTATATTTCTATATTTTGTTAGTGAAGCTTCTGAATGTTCAGATGTGTTGATTTGACACAGGTTTATGCAAGCACTTCTCGTGATAGCTTGCTGGCAACTATTTTGGATGTGTTACAAACGGAAGTAGGTACATTTGCCTTCTTTTAGATATTGATATGGGCCATGGAATGTGATTTTTAATGGTGCTATATACTGAATTTATTTATCATGTCTCTGCATACTAACATGCGTGTATGTTTGAATAAAGGGATTTTCAAATATCTGTTTTGGTTTAATTATTGTTGTCATGGTTATACTGTTGATTATCAACTGTTCCGTTGTATTGTTTGTTATAGATTCTTGATTTTCTCTTTCCTAGATTTCTCTAACCTGTATGATTTTGTTCTACTGTGGATTGTGAAGTGACCTTTTCACATAGGAATTAATAGAAATGATAATTGCATTTCGATGATCTCTAATCATCGTCAACTTCATGCAGGGTCAATGCCCAATTCCTGTATTACCAAGATTAACCATGCCTGGTCATCGGATTGATCCTCCTTGTGGGAGAGTCTGTTTGCAATCTTCTCAATTCTCAGCTGGTCCGCATCGCGCTATTGCTGATATTGAAGGTGCCTCCATGCATTTGAAGCATCTAGCTGCTGCTGCTAAAGATGCTGTGGCTGAAGGTGGTTCTATTCCTGGTTCAAGAGCAAAACTATGGCGGAGAATCAGGGAGTTTAATGCTTGTGTAACTTACAGTGGGGTGCCCCCAAGCATAGAAGTGCCTGAGGTAGCATTGATGGCCTTAATTACCATGCTTCCAGCTACCCCGAATCTTCCTCCAGAGGCTCCACCACCTCCACCTCCTTCTCCTAAAGCTGCTGCAACTGTAATGGGATTTATCGCTTGTTTGCGAAGATTGCTTGCTTCAAGAAGTGCGTCTTCCCATGTTATGTCCTTTCCTGCAGCTGTCTCAAGAATAATGGGTCTTTTGAGGAATGGCTCAGACGGTGTGGCTGCCGAGGCAGCAGGGCTTGTTGCCATGCTCATTGGGGGGGGTCCTGGGGATTTAAATATTTTAATGGACTCAAAGGGAGAGAGGCATGCAACAATAATGCACACGAAATCTGTGTTATTTGGGCTTCCAAATTATGCCACCATTCTTGTCTATAGGTTGAAGCCTGTGTCGGTGTCGCCTCTATTGTCAATGGCTATCGTAGAGGTCCTTGAGGCTATGCTTTGTGAACCTCATGGTGATACAACCCAGTTTGCTACTTTTGTTGAATTGCTACGTCAAGTGGCAGGCTTGAAACGCCGCTTATTTGCTTTATTTGGACATCCTGCTGAAAGTGTGAGAGAAACAGTTGCTGTTATAATGCGTACAATTGCCGAGGAGGATGCCATTGCAGCAGAGTCAATGCGTGATGCTGCATTGCGAGATGGTGCCCTGCTATTGCACTTGTTGGATGCATTTTCCCTCTCTCCAGGTGAACGACGTGAAGTTAGTCAACAACTTGTTGCTTTATGGGCTGATTCTTATCAACCTGCCCTTGATTTGCTATCAAGAGTGATTCCACCTGGACTTGTTGCTTATTTGCATACACGTTCTAATGTGGTTCCTGAAGATGAGCAAATTCAGCCTAATCAAGATACACCTTTTGCAAGAAGACGAGAGAGACGCATTCTTCAGCAAAGGAAGGGTCGGACAGTGAGAGTTCCAACTTCTCAAGAGCATGCTCTGTCTTCTCTAAATGATGTTGAAGTGGGTGATTTGGCAAGACAAAACATTTCTTCTGGCTTGAGAACTGTAGAGAATGTTCAAAAATTCAGTGGAGGTTCAAATCTTGGACCTGGTTCTGGACCTGTGTCTTCTGTAGGTCCTGGGGTTAACGCTACAAATGAAGCATCCTTAACAGGGACTATGCAGCAGCGAGATGTCTCCCAGACCATGCTGCCTGCCAGTTCTGGAACTGCTGAATCACAAGCAGTTGATACAAATGCTACAGATACGGCAGATTCTGATGTGAACACAGTTGGGAGTGCAAATACAACTGTACCTGCCCCTGCCCAGGTTGTTATGGAAGATACTCCTGTGGGATCTGGCAGGCTACTCTGCAACTGGCCTGAGTTTTGGCGTGAATTTGGTCTAGATCACAATCGTGCTGACCTTATATGGAATGAGCGAACGAGACAGGAACTGATAGGGGCTTTGCAGGCTGAGGTTAATAAATTGAAAAAAGAGAAAGAACGCACTGAAGATATTGTTCCTGGTGTAATGACTGAGCCAATGGCCGGGCAAGATAATGTATCTCTGATTTCATGGAACCATATAGAATTTTCAGTTTGCTACCCTAGTTTATCCAAAGAAGTATGTGTTGGTCAATATTATCTTCGACTTTTGCTTGAGAGCAGCTGCCAGGCACAGGATTTCCCTCTACGTGACCCAGTTGCATTCTTCAGAGCATTATATCACCGATTTTTGTGCGATGCTGATATTGGTCTCACTGTGGATGGTACTGTACCAGATGAATTGGGTGCGTCTGATGATTGGTGTGACATGGGAAGGTTAGATGGATTTGGAGGAGGTGGAGGGTCTTCTGTCAGAGAGCTTTGTGCAAGGGCAATGGCAATTGTCTATGAGCAGCATTATAAAACTATCGGTTCTTTTGATGGTACTGCCCACATCACAGTTTTGTTGGATAGGACAAATGACCGAACTTTAAGGCACCGATTACTTCTTCTTTTGAAGGTAATCGTATTATTTAAATGAGCATTTCCATATTGTATTACTTCTGCTTGTATTATTGAACAGGAGAAATGCTTTTGCTTCCTTTCTATAGATATTTTAGTTTTGAATTTAGTAAAGAAAGTGCATCAGGATGTTAGTTGACTTTAGAAGCACCTCCATGCTTTTAGCAAGTTCTGCCAGAAGTCTAACCATACTATGTTTTTTACTTATGGGAATTATCTGTCGATACTCTCAATATACTAACATGATTTTGTTTCATAATAAATTGTGCAATAAGCTGTGATAAATGCGTTCAACTATGCCGAATCAGTGATGTTCATATGTGCAGATTTTCTTATTGTGAATAAAATATCCTGAAATAATTTCAGATTTTTCTGGTTATAGATGAAATAATCATAAACGTTTTCATATTTTTTTGGTTACAAATGAAAGCAACCTAAAACCTTATCTGCTGCACCTTTCACATTCTTGAAACTTAAAATATTTTATTTCTTTGATGGTCTTGAAAGTTTCTTTTTAAGTCCGTCTTCCTGTGTCTGGAATTCTCTGTTACCAAAAGAGGGACATCTGTAGTGGAAGATTATGAATATCCTTGTTGCACTTTACTGCAATGATACCACTGGGTAAACCTTAAATTTTTAGTATGCTCAGGATATATCTTCCTGCTCAATAGAATAAACACATTAAAAGCTAGGATACTACTTAGGATATTTTCTTATCGCAGGATGCTGAATGACATTGCTTCTTGTGTCTGTATAATGTGATGGGGTTGCTGGTTAAGTGCTATGATGAGGGAGCCCCCTGATTTAGAAGTGTCTACCATGCACATGCAATTAATCGGACGATATAAAGAGCTCCATTTTACTTATTTTGTCTGGGTCCCTAAGGCAGGTTAATTTGTTTGCTTTGCAGGTCTTAATGAAAGATCTTTCAAATGAAGAGGCTTGTGTCTTGGTTGGGGGATGTGTGCTGGCTGTAGATCTTCTGACAGTTGCTCATGAGGCTTCAGAACGAACTGCGATTCCCCTGCAATCTAATTTGATAGCTGCTACTGCTTTCATGGAACCACTAAAGGAATGGATGTTTATTGACAAAGATGGTGTCCAAGTTGGACCTCTGGAGAAGGATGCCATCAGAAGGTTTTGGTCAAAGCAAGCTATCGATTGGACCACCAAGTGCTGGGCTTCTGGGATGAATGACTGGAAGAGATTAATTGACATTCGCGAGCTGCGTTGGGCCCTAGCACTTCGTGTCCCTGTTCTCACTCCAATGCAGGTACCTCTCCAAGTCCCATTATGAGGTGGGATTTACCATGCTTCTGGATGTATATGCTTCCATGTGTCATTGAGCTTTCGTCTTCTTATTGCAATCTGCCCATATCTTATACCAATGGATCGAGTGATCATAGTTAACTCGATTATAATCTTTGTTGATGGCTACTTTAAAACTCTTTACTTTTTTCCATAACATGGACTTGCATGAGTTTTGACATCTGATTTAAGGTTGGTGAAGCTGCGTTGTCCATCATGCATAGCATGGTATCTGCTCGTTCTGATCTAGATGATGCTGGAGAGATTGTAACTCCCACTCCGAGAGTGAAAAGGATATTGTCAAGTCCTAGGTGTCTTCCACATATTGCACAGGTACTTCTGGGTTCTTATGAATTCTTTGTCCTTTACTTCTTATTCTGGTACTGCATGGTAGACTTATTCATAGTAGTTACTGGTGAAATTAAGTTTGTGATGCTTCAGATAAAGTTTGTTTGATTTTGGGATGACCACTCGAACAAACGTCCTAAATCTAGGGTTTAAGAGTATTGGTTCGTCCTTTTTTCTTATCTGTAGCCACATGCCTCTACATTTGATCGATGAGGTATTAACTTGTATGTTTAAATTATTCGATAGGATGCTAACTTGTCTGTTTAATCTGATTGAATGAGATCAGCTCCTCCATTTTAATATGTATTTCAATCTCAATTCCAGGTTGGCCTCTGTTTGATCAATATTTATTTATGATAACATACGTCTAGTTGAGGAATAAGCTAAAACAGTGTTCTAAAACATGGCTCGATCAAGGTAGTCAGCACCTGCCTGACCTAAGCTACTTGGACGAGTCGACTCTGACTAGTCCAAGTCATATCAGAGCTATAAAAAACAGGGCCAATAACATGAAAGAAATCAGCAAAAAATGTAAAAATTCCCAAAAAAAGAAAAAGAAAATAAAAAAAATCCAAAAAAATTGTACTAAATAAAACTCTATATAAAAAATTGAGTAGGAATAAACTCATGTTCTTGGCTTGAAAAAATAGAAAATCTGAAAAATGGGGAATCTCAGAAAAATACAAAAAAAATCCATAAAAGACAAAAGAATGTAGAAAATGATTTATAATCAAATATGTTTTATTTAGTAAAAAAATAGATCATATTTATGAATTTAAATAGGAAAATCAAATTTTCTAGACAAATCCACCGCTCTTCTTTTCTTTTTTTTTTTTTTTGACAAGGTTACATAGGAATGGAACTTTAGATGTTAGGCTATGAAACCCAGTCTCTATTGTCTTGACCCAAGCCCGATTCCTTCCCACCGATCTTCATGTTTGATTGATGTGAATTGATGAATCAAATCCTTGTCAAAACTTCCTAAAACAACCCCAATCAAAACCCCCATACCAGTTTTGGGTTTTGGGTTTTGGGTTTTGGGTTTGTGTTCGGATCTAGGAGACGGAGCTCGTGAAAATCTTGGATGAATAGTAAATCTATTTTTCAAAGCTCTAAAGTCCTTTTTTCTATGTGAAAACAAGTCTATGATTGGATAAGAACACAAAAATAGGATTAGGGATTGAATTTCATCGAAGATTGAACATTGATTGTGAGGAGATCACAATTTTTCAAAATTGGACACATGCTTGGTCGAATTTTTACTATCCAAATCGATATGAGGCTTCCAATATACAGATTGGGGTAAAATCTATCTGAGGGATGAATTTGGGCTCTAGCTACTAGGGTTCACGGCTCCGATTGAAAATAAAGAAAAAAAAGGTGGGAAAGATCCCTCCACCCATTACCATCCCCACCCACCCCACCCCACCCCACCCCACGCCTCCCCCCCCCCCCCCCCCCCGCCCCCTTCCTCTCTCTCTTCTCATCTCTTCCTTTTTTATTTTGTGGGTTGGCACAGTACTCAGCAGTGGGTACTGTACTGACTTGCCAAAGTGCAATGAAACTCCGGTGAGTGAGCTTAAGTTTCAAAGTACTAGGGCGAGTTTGTACCATATTAGGAGTATTGTACAGGGGCCCTTAGGTACCCTGTTCCGGACCTGGCAGGATGCTGAGTGAGTGACTCGCCTGAGTCATTCTTGGTGAGTTTTTGACCATTGAGCTAAAGTAGTATACAGCCAGGAGGATCTCACACCTGACATGAATTTAACTTTGCAATGTATTGTGTGACTGAATGGCCATGGCAATATCTGCTCTGGCTATTTTCTAACCTAAACATTGAATCTTAGACCTTAGACACGAAGGTTGGTATTAAACTTTTAACCTTTAAAGGGGGGGGGGGAGAGCTCAATCTTTCTTTAGTTTAGAGGATGTTCAATCTTGTTTTTCAAGCTTGTGCTAGAGGAGTTGGGCCTCAATCTGTAGTGTTTGCTGAGTGGAATCAGCCTTTGTTGAATTAGTTAAAATGATTGCGCAATAGGAAACTTCATAAAATTAATGAACTAATATGTTTTTTCTTATTCACAACATTAAAGTGATTAGCTACCTTTAATATTATGGGTATGGTACAGTTAACAGCATCACAACAAAAAAATTATGGGTATGGTTGACATTCTTGAGTATTTTGCTCGATGATAATTTTTTTCTCAAATGGCATCTCTCTTGTTCCAAGATAATGTTGCTTAGATACATAGTTTATATGGTTATCATTATTCCTGAAGTTGCTAAGGAATCCTTTCCTTTTCTTAGGTAGCTCCACAGTTATCCTTTCCAATGCCAATATATTTTTATGTAATATGGGTTGAGATGTAAGTAAAAATGCTTCAAAAATTAAATTTTGTTATGGGAGCAAGTAACCATTACCCAACTTTTATTTGGACACCCTAAATATTATGTGAAACACATCCTTTCATAAAACTCAAGTGAAGCAGAACTAATTGGGATTTTTCTGAGATGGGGCTGTGTTATCCTTAGTTATATGGTTAGGATATTTCCCTCTTGTTTAAACACTCAATTCTTTGATTTAGAATCAGAAACTTAAATAATTATTAATATATTTGAATATTGAACCTGCATTATATTGACGAGAAACCAAAAATTGCAGTTCCCTCCCCCTCAAAAACCACTTTAAGATGGGTCCTTGACCAAGAAAAGTTCCAAATTAGTCTCCTCCTCTCTAACAACAATCTCCTCAAAATAAATAAAAAATGAAAAAGAGAAAATGTTTTGGAGCTCCAAAAATACTCTAAATTTATTGCGACTGCCCAAATGTGATCTGGGCTGCACATTTGAACGGACAGTTGATCTTAGGCATTTGGAGCTTTTTTTGGAGCTTCAAATCAAATCTCATTTGGAGGCTCATGATTTGGAGCTTCTTTGAGTTTCCCTTCCACCTCAAAAGTTGGTTTGATGTGGGGAAACACCGTCTTTTGGTGTTCCCTGCTAGAACTCCAAAAGAGTTTTTTATTTGAAAAAAAACTTTTGGTATGCCACTCTCACTAATTCAGCTGTTGGAGAAATTTAATCAGTGTAATTAGTCAAGTAGAGCTGTCTAGCTAGAAAATTGATGGTGTGATACTTCATGATGAGCTGGCTCTTCTTCTACTGAACCCCTCACACCTGCCATTATTTTCTTTTAAATGCTCAACTTTCTCGTTAGAAACAATCTACTGAAATGAAAACTCTCTCATTAAGTGATTTGATTTTGAGTCATTTGAGTACTGTGAGAGTTACTGTAAACTAGAAAACTGTCGTCATTGTCTGCTGATCTGAACCTGAATTTCTGGACACACTTCGGTGTTTGAGTTGGTAAAGATCTCCTTTGGGGATTTGTTCCTCAAAAAAAAAAAAGAGAATCTTCATTGGGAATTGTTCAAGATTCATGGGGGGAGGATTGGTTTAGGGAATTGAAATGCTTCTGTGTCTAGGACCTGGTGATTGACATTGTGACATTGACCTTATTTACCTACTTGTAAAAATGGCTTTTTAATTTCATTGTTGAATGTTTTTATGCGATACCCTTTTGGATACAGATGTCAGTGATACAAATACACATATCTGAAACTAATGTTGATGTTGCCCTGAAAGTACTTTCATTATAATACAGAAGGAAAAAATAAATAAGTTCTTGATGTCTAAATATTGATTCATATTCCCATAGTGCAGGCTATGCTAACTGGTGAGCCAAGTATCGTTGAAGGTGCCGCTGCTTTGCTGAAGGCTGTTGTTACTCGCAACCCTAAGGCAATGATTAGGCTTTACAGCACTGGTGCATTTTACTTTGCTCTAGCATATCCTGGGTCCAATCTTCTTTCAATTGCGCAACTTTTCTCGGTGACGCATGTGCATCAAGCATTTCATGGAGGGGAAGAGGCAGCTTTGTCATCATCGCTACCTTTGGCAAAACGCAGTGTACTTGGAGGCCTTCTTCCAGAATCGCTTCTATATGTTCTTGATCGCAGTGGACCGGCTGCTTTTGCTGCTGCTATGGTGTCTGATTCTGATACCCCTGAGATCATCTGGACACATAAGATGCGAGCAGAGCATCTCATTCGTCAGGTATTAATACAAGGCTGACAGATCTAGATATAGTCTTTATCAACATAAGCTTGATAGTCTCTGTTATATATATGAATGTTGGTAGTGTTTACAAGCTAGCTCATTGTTTTTTTTTTTTTGATACTGAAATAGGTGATGGATCCCTAACATTGTTGCTTGTATTTCTGTATTTCTAGTTCTTGTTAATTTCTGGTTTCATTTTCTTTCCTTTTTGTTGTGCAGGTCATGCAGCATCTTGGGGATTTTCCACAAAAGTTATCACAGCATTGTCATTCAGTGTATGATTATGCACCTATGCCACCAGTAACATATCCAGAGCTGCGAGATGAAATGTGGTGCCACCGCTATTATCTCCGCAACTTATGTGATGAAATACGATTTCCAAATTGGTCAATTGTGGAGCATGTAGAGTTCCTACAATCATTATTGGTTATGTGGCGTGAAGAGTTAACTAGACGACCTATGGATCTATCTGAAGAGGAAGCTTGTAAGATATTAGAAATATCCCTGGAAGATGACCCATCTGGAGATGATTCTGGCAGCAGACAACATTCCGAATCAGATGATGAGAGCAATAATATCTCCAAGAAAATTGAAAAAATTGATGAAGAAAAGCTGAAACGACAGTATAGGAAGCTTGCTATGAGATACCACCCCGACAAAAATCCAGAAGGAAGAGAGAAGTTTGTTGCAGTGCAGAAGGCTTACGAACGTTTGCAGGTATTTATTCATTAGGGAAAGTAAAATTTGATTTATGGATCCAACACTTCACAATTGGATGTTGCTAGTAAAAACACTTTCGGACTTCAATTTTGAATGCTACTCCACAACAGCTTGGTTGTTTACTTTGACATGTAGTGTTTGAAAGATGACTATTGAAATGCAGTCCAGCATTTGTATTGATTGGACTAAAATTTGTTATTTGGGACACTGACACACTAATATTGGCTGTAGTCTTGTTTTAATAATTTTTTTTCTCTACTCTAATGTGACTGCTAATTGTTTAGGAGGTTCTTGACACCTCCATTTATTTCTGGTATTTACGTATTGTCATTTAGGAGTGTTTCCTTGGAGAAATGCATTGTGTGAATGTTCATAGAATAGGTTCTGCCCTGAATAATCGACCTTTTTCTGGATTCTATGTGGTTGCCATGTGGTTTGAAGCTCTTAGCCTTATACCCTATGCTGCAGCTTTGCATCCCAAGCATAACAATCAGAAGAGCAAATAAATTATTAGTGCTTCCCAATGGGTGACTTTAATGCAGTGATGTGCATTTTAAATGTCTCAATCCTAATTAATTTTAGAGGCTTTAAAGAGTAAATTTGAGTGCAATAGAACATGTGCTTAAAAATTAGGGTTTTGTTATTCATCATTTTGAGCAGATTTCGGTGCTTTGATCTCTAAAAGAACATATCTATCTGATGGGGATGTGAGTTTTCTTGAAACTTTATGGTGTATGAGTTTGAGTTTTCATATTTATGGTTTCAACTATGGATACTTCAGATTTATATATAATATATATATTTGAGAATAAAAAACTGTAAAGATAACATCACACTTTCTAAGGGTTTTAGTTGTGTATAAACTTTTATAAAGGTACTCCATGAGTTTGCCCAGTGTTCTGGAGCTATCTGATGAGTGATTCAGTTATATAGCATGTTTGATATTCATTATAGCTTTTGCTTTGGTAATACAAATGCAGGCTACGATGCAAGGCCTGCAGGGTCCACAACCTTGGAGATTGTTGCTTTTACTTAAGGGGCAGTGTATACTGTACAGGCGCTATAGTCATGTCTTGGAGCCATTTAAGTATGCTGGATATCCAATGCTCTTGAATGCAGTAACAGTGGATAAGGATGACAACAATTTCCTATCCTCCGATAGAGCTCCTCTCCTTGTCGCAGCATCCGAGCTCATTTGGTTGACGTATGTGCCACATTTACTCTTGTCTTTTTCAAATTTTAACTTGTCCATTAGTTATGTTTTATTGTTTAGAAGATTCTTGTAAGTATGTCTCTTTCGTCAACTTATTGTTTCATTATCTCATTCCAGGTGTGCGTTTTCCTCATTAAATGGCGAGGAACTTGTTAGGGATAGCGGCATTCCACTTCTAGCCACTCTTCTTTCACGTTGTATGGGTGTAGTTCAGCCAACTACTCCTGCAACTGAACCATCTGCAGTGATTGTGACAAATGTGATGCGCACATTCTCTGTCCTCTGTCAATTTGAAGATGCCAGAACTGAGATTCTTAATTTTGGTGGATTAGTTGAGGATATTGTTCATTGTACTGAACTAGAGCTCATTCCAGCAGCTGTTGATGCTGCTTTGCAAACTGCTGGTCATCTTTCTGTATCATCTGATCTGCAGGATGCGTTACTAGGAGCGGGCATTTTGTGGTATGTATTTTAGAAACTTCTCCCTCTGGTTTAGTTTATATACACTGCTTTATGTTCTTGGTGTAGTCACAGTTCTCATCTTAGATGACTATCTAAGTGATTCTTGAATTCTTCTTCGGGAGTTATGCACATCATAGAGTGACACATTGGCATTGTCACAGTTCAACGAAGTTTTCTGTTCTATTATGGGAGATATTGAGTCAGTCATTTATTTATCAGGTACCTGTTACCTCTACTTCTTCAGTATGACTCCACTGCAGAGGATGCTGATGTCACTGAAGCACATGGTGTTGGTACTAGTGTGCAGACTGCTAAAAATATGCATGCAGTCCGTGCAGCTCAGGCCCTTTCAAGGCTTAGTGGTCTCTCTACAGATGATATTACTACCCCCCATAATGAGATTGCAGTGGCTGCACTGCGATCCCTGTTGACTCCTAAGCTTGCTGAGATGCTTAAACTTCAATTGCCTAAGGAGCTTTTAGCCAGCCTGAATACAAATTTAGAGACTCCAGAGGTAATTGTTGTGCCTTTCTTTACCATATAATTGGTTTTTTAAAGAAGAATATTAGAGTTAGTGATATACTGTCAGATAAATCTATTAGGCACTGAAAGAGCGTCTTTATTTAAGATGGAATGCTCATTTATGTGTCTTGTTCTTCTGAAACGATACTTCATCAGTAATTGATCTTTGTTTTTGGTCCCTTGAGAGATTGGTAATATAGTTGTTTTGATCAGGAAAGATCATATGCTAATAAGGTCTATTGCTTTGTACTTGAGAATGATTTTTTATTCTTGGGGCAGAGATGGCTCTCCAAATATACCTTTTCCTCTGCTCTATTCAGTGAATTGCTTTAGTGAATTAATGATTTGGAGACGCAAAATATGCCCTATTTCTAGAGTCAAGCACTGTAGTCTAGAGTTTGGATCCTTGTCATAATTGTTGGGAGTCGGAGTGGGAGTGAGAGCAGGAGCTGAAGCGAGAGCTGAGACTAGGATCCACTCATTGCTGAAGCTCACTACCTTGGGAGCACCTAGGAATGTTGTTCAAGGGACTGTCTGACATATGTATATGAGAGCACTCGGGGAGTGCCTTCTAAAAATTGAAAAAGCGTATATATCACCTTTTAGCATTGTTTACATACACACGTGATTAGAACTCTATAGCTTGAAAGTCCTATAAAAAATTGAGAAAAATGAGATTGTAGAACCATGATAAGAACCTAACTTAGGAATTGTCTGAGTCCGTTTGGTGAACCACACAAGATAGGTGGATTCACTACATTGGAAACTGCCATTTCTTGACAACTTGGGCAATTCCTTGGTTTGGGACCATTCGGGACTAGGGACCCCCTGGGTCTTATCCAATTTGCGTGATTCCAAGTCAGGTTGCCAGTTTTCAACCACTGATGGAAACCTCGACCATTAAAACAAAAAATGAAAATCTTCAATACGTGGTCGTTAGCTAGAAAATAATCAAAAGGCAAAAAGTAGCACCAAACCAGAATAATGCTTCTACATTTGCCTCCTAATATTATTTAGTTCATTGGCAATTTAGTTTTATTATTGAATGGAGTATTTGCTTATTGCTGGTAATCATGGCCATTGTTCAAGTACTTTTCATGCTGGGGACCCAATCCGAGGCCAAAAAACGGTAAAAAAAAAATTCACAAAAAATTTGAAAAATCTTAAAATCCAAACAATATACTAAATTATCAAATATATATAAAATGTGAAATAAGAAAATTTTGATGATTGATTTGATTCGAAAATATGAAAGCAATAAAAAGTAGAAATAGCACATTAAAATTATAAAAAACATAAAATTATATGAAATATTACTAAAAATTTCATCATCATTATCATCTGATCCTTATCCCAACTTTTTGGGGTCGGCTATACGAATCATGTTCCGTCATTTTGCTTTGTCAAGGGTTATACCCTATAAGTCACCATATCTTTTCTCATTACTTCTATCCATGTCCTTCTAGGCCTTCTTGCCTTTTAAAACCTTCCACTTGAACCAATTGCCCCTCCTAACTAGTGATGTATTAGGTCTACGCTGCATATGGCAGCCCGCCTAAGTCAACTTTTCCTCATTGCCTATTGGAGCCACCCCTAAGTTCCCTCATATATTCATTCTGAATTCCTACCCCTCTTGTCTTGCCACTCATCCATCTCAACATCCTCATCTCAGGTTTACTTATCCTATGGATATGTTATTTCATGACCATCCAACATTCTGTCCCATAAGCATTGTTGGTCTTACAACCGTCCTATAAAACTTCTCCTTCAGTTTCATTTGTATGAGGCGATTGTATGGAACGCCGGATGCATATCTCCACTTTGCCCACCCTACTTTAATTGAATGCACGACATCTTCCTCAATCTCCCTATTCTCTTGGATCATCGACCAAAGATAAGGAAAATGATTGCTTTTAAGTATTCTTAGCCATATAACTACTTCATCGTTTCTTCTCCTATTATTACTAAAATTGCATTTCATATATTCTATCTTAGTCCAACTAATTTTAGAACCTTTAGACTCTTAAGCATCCCTCCAAGTTCTAACTTTGTGTTAACGCCCCCTCTAGTCTCATCTATCCAAATTATGTCATCTGCAGACAACATCACCATGGTACCTCATCTTGTAGATTCTTACATAATTCGTCCATAACCAAAACAAAGAGATATGGGTTCAACGTTGACCCCCTGATGTAAGCCTACTGTCACTGGAAGCTCACTTATCTCTCCACTAGCTGTCTTCACACTAGTTAGTGCTCCCTCGTGTATCCCTCACCATGAACATTATATCCGAATTTTGAATGTCCTAATCATTTCTTTTGTGTCATTTTTGGGAAAGTCAAGCCTGTGGTTGGATTAAGAACACAAAAAAATAGGCGTAGGGACTGAATTTCATCGAATATTGACCACTGATTGCAAGAAAAAAAAAATGCAAATTTTCTAAATTGGCTGTTTTTTTATGGAAAGAATCTCTCATATCCCAATTTTTTTAAAATCAAATCTATTGTTTCTAATAGTTCTATCTGGCTAAAATCATCGTAAGCATGAAATATTTTCTCGAATGGGAAACCTAAGGCTTTAAATTGAAGAAAATCACACCCCTTCACCCCACCCTAAAAAAACACCCAAATAACATTTGTTAAGGAGGAGGGAAAATGGACAAAGTAAAAAAAAAATTAAGTTAAATGGTGGGAGATTATATGCCGTCTCAAGAACGGGGTCCACCACGAACGTTATTTTCACGAGACCCAAAAATCAAAATTTCTTTTCTCAATTATTTCTGATCCAACACTTGTATATGTATAAAAGAAAATGCTAAATCTAGTTTAATATAGAATCATCTGTTAAAAATTCAATTTCTAACTCTACTCTTCAATTGTCTACAACTAAAAATGTCGCTATTACCATAAAGATAAATAAATAAAAGACCAAACAACCCAAGCTCAAATTTAGCATTCTAAACAAATAATAAAATAAAAAAACATTATTTTGTGCTGTGAGGAGCTCAACCTCGAGATTGTACACTCAAAAGCTAAAACAAATATTATCTCCTTTGTCACCATATGACTTTACCTTTGGATGCTCATCTTCTTTATGGATTTCATCAGTTTATTTAGCTAAATGTATTTTTGTTCTCCACTTTGGGCTTTCATAAGCACTAGGCCTTTACGCAGATAACAAACAACCTTGGGAGGAACCCACTTGATCTTGTTCCTTATTTTCTTCATTGAATTTTGGGTGTTGCGCAACCTCCTTATGGGTAGAAAATTGCTTGTAAGTGCTCCACTGCAATTTTGAGCAATTTGAAAAGCCTCACTTAAGGGCCATGGCCCGGGTGAAAGACTTTGTCCCTAAAGGCTGGTTGGAGCCTTAGAACCCGTTAATATAATGAGGAACCTCTTGTCCTTTAGTCTCTTGGAGGTTGTTTTATAAAATTCTCTTATATAGTCTTTTATCCTCGTATCATTCTATTGGAGACTTTGGATGTCAGGAAAGAAAATTTGGTCATGATGCACATAAAGAAAAGAAAATTTCAACTTCTTTTTCGTTATCATCATCGTTAAAGCTTTTTCTCAACTAATTGGGATCAGCTACACGAATCCTGGTCTGCTATTCCTCTCTATTAAAGGCCATATGCTCAGGAAGGCCATAGATCCTCATATCTTTTCTCACTACTTCCATCCATATCCTTTTGGGCTTATCCCTTGTCTTTTTTGAGCCTTCCACTTGAACTAACATACATTTCCTAACATTTGTTGTATTGGGTTTGCACCACACATGGCTAGCCCACCTAAGTCTACTATCTCTCATATTATTACCTATTGGTGCCACACCTAAATTTTATCGAATGTATGCATTTCAAATTCTATCGCGTCTTGGCTTGCCACTCGTCCTTCTCAACATCCTTATCTTCACTGCACTCATTCTATGAGTATATTCATTATATTGGTTTTTGACCGCCCAACATTTCGCGTCATAGAGCAAAGCTAGTTTCATAACTGTCCTATAGAACTTACCTTTTAGTTTCATTGGTATATGGTGATCACATAGAATTCCGGTTGCACATCTTCGCTTCGCCCACGCAGATGTAATTCTATGTGCGACATCTTCCTCAGTCTTTCTATTTTCTTGGATTATCGACCCAAGATATCAAACTTGCGTTCTTTTTTGTATTTCCTGGTCATCAATCTTATCTACTTCATCGTCTCTACTCATATTATTACTAAACTTGTATTATATATACTGTGTTTTAATTCGGCTAATTTTAAAGCCTTTAGATTCTAGAGCATCCCTCCAAAGTTCTTTGTGTTGACGTCATTTTAGGTCTCATTGATCAAGACTAAGACAAAGAGGTATGGGCTCAATGCTGACCCTTGATGTAGATTTATTGTCACTGAAAACTCACTCGTCTCTCCACTAATTGTTCGTACACTAGCTTGCACTCCATCGTACATATCTCTCACCAAGTTAATGTAGTGTTTGTATACTCCTTTCTTTTCTAACACCCACCAAATCAAATCTTGAGGTACTCTATCATAAGCTTTCTCTATATCAATAAGGACCATGTGGAGGACCATGTGGAGGTATTCTTAATCAGTTGCCTAAGTAGGAAAATAGCCTTGGTTGTTGACTTCCCTGGCATAAAACCGAATTGGCTTTCAGATGCACTCGTTTCATGCCTTAGTCGTTGCTCTATCAATCTCTCCCAAAGCTTCATAGTGTGGTTCATAAATTTGATCCCTCGGTAGTTCGTACAATTTTACATGTTTCTTTTGTTCTTATAAATGGGTACCACAATACTTTTCCTGCATTTGTTTGGCCATTTCTTTGATCTTAACACATTGTTGAACAACTTGTTCAGTCAATCAATGCTAATCTCCCCATGCATTTCCAAACGTCTATCGAGATACTATCTAGTCCTAAAGCCTTTCCTATCTTTCTTATTTTCAAAGCTTCTTTCACTTGCGATATTCTAATTGTAAGAATGTATCT